GAAAGAAAGAAAGAAAGAAAGAAAGAAAGAAAGAAAGAAAGAAAGAAAGAAAGAAAGAAAGAAAGAAAGGAAGGAGATAGAAAGAAAAAAGAAAGAAAGTAGGAAAAGATTAGCATAAGAAATGAAACGGGGTAGGAGGAAAGGCAGGCCATTCTGGAGACTGTCCCACGTCATTTGTGGACCTTCATAATTCTTTTTCAAAGCTATTACCAAAGGACCCTACTATAACCTTCAGAAGAAAGCACAAAAAGTAGCACTTTATCCAGGCAAGACTCTAACATTCAAGTAGGGCTCAGTATTCACAATGGCCACTGAAAGACCCCCCGCCTCACCCTAAGTTAAACATAGCTAACGCTATTTTGTAGTACACCACTGTTTTGAGAAACTCTGTAGGCTAGGTGGGGAACTGGAAAATTACTGAGAAACCCAGCTGTGTCATATCTGCGGTCAGGCTGCCCCAGTCGAGCTAAAAACAGCTTGTGTTAATCACCCTCATGGGATATCTGTGAGACTGTTCCAGCTGAGATAGGAGTCCTGAGGAAAACAACAGGTGGCGGCCCAAGTTAAGGGGTCATCATGACCGTCTCGACCACCCAGTTCCTGGAATCCTGGTGTCCCTGCCAAACTCTGACTCAAATTGTGGTCTCATTTAAATGTACCAATCAGCTCCCTGTAACCATGCTTCTCGCTTCTGTACCCGCACTTTTGCTCTAAAACCCTATAAAAAGCCCAGCTTTCCCCCCAGAGGGCACGCAAGTCCTCCAAGAGACTTTGTCGCCCCAGGTACCCGTGTATTAAATAAAGCCTCTTGCTGTTTGCAGCCGAACAACTGGTCTCACTGATCCTTGGGAGTGGGGGTCTCCCTGACGGAAGATTCCCCTCGGGGGTCTTTCAGCCACAACTAATTATCATCAAAACGTACCGCTTGTAACAGTGGTAGATACCAACCCAGAGCCTTGAACAAGCTACGTATGCACTCTACCACTGAGCAACATCTGTGGCCCCCCAAGCATACTAATTTCAGAAAAAGAATTTAAAATAGTCATAACCTACATTAATTCTATGTAGACTCCCTGGTGTGCTTTTGTTTTTCTCATTTCTGAGACATGGTCTTACCTTATAGCCAAGGCTCCATTCAAATTTGTGTCCTCCTGCATGTGACTTTCTAGGACAGGAATTACAAGCTGGCACCACCCACAGCAGCCCTGGTTTTCCTGGAACTCACTCTGTAGACCAGGCAGGCTGGCCTCGAACTCAGAGATCAGCTGACTTTTGCTGGAGTGAAAGGAGTGTGCCAGTGGGAGATGCAAGATGGCAGCACTGAGAGGACACTGTGTCTGATGAGCAGGACAGCAGTGACTGCACTGTGACCAACAAACTGAACTCTGGGCCCTAAAACACCAGTGATTATGTTTCCCAGGTGAGAGGAAATGCCACAGTGTGGAAAGCAATTGTGTCCATTCTCAGGTCACCCAGCTAAACCTGGAAGAGTTCCTGGGTCCTGGCAGGAGCTGGGTTGCCAGCCCAGAGCCATATACCTGTGTGTTCTAATCACTGTCCCAGACTAAACTGTGGGTCCTACAACACCAGAGACTGAGATTCCCAGTTGAGAGAAAACCCCATGGTGAAGGAAGCAATCTGACCAACCTCAGGTCACCCAGACAATTCCCTGGAAAAGGTCCCAGGGTTAGGCGTTTGCTCACCTGCCAGCCCAGAGACCTGCTTGCACGCCCATCTCACCATCCCAGACAGAACTGTGGGATGCAGGGCACCACAGACTGGGTTTCTCTGTCGGGAGGAAATCCAAGGATGAGGGAAACAGCAGGTCTGACCTCAGGGCACCCAGCTGAACCCCCCACGCCAGGAAAAATTCTCAGAAAAAGTTCCTGGGTTTCTGCAGATGCCTAGCCAGCAGTGTGGAACCACTTGCCTGCGCTTGTGTGCTCTACTAACCATCCGAGATTAAACTGTGGCCCCCAAAACACAACAGACTGGGAATTCCTGTGAGGAGGAGACCACGGTTGGGGAAACATCAGGTCCGACCTCACCACACCCAGCTCCGAAAAAAGTTTCTGGGCTCTTGCAAGCTCCAGATTCTAGCCTCCTGCTTATATGCATGAGTGCTATGCTCACCTCCCACTGATTACTACTTGGGTACTAGGGCACAGAGCTCCAATCTCAGACCTACAGAAGTCTGGTATCTACGTGTTCAGCTCCAGACACTGCACCAAGGCTAAACTGACCAAACCATGGGGCTTACTGCTTCTTTAAGAGGGCTGCGCCCAGCAAACACAGAGAAAGAGCAGCAGCAGCATCTCAATAAATTCAGAGCAAGTAACCTAGTGGCAAGGAAGTTGTCTCTAGGATTTCTCCTGGTGAAAGGAGAGCCACCCTGAGTACCAATGACCACAGTTACCACACAGGTCCATATGTCTGAGGTGAGCTGTGGCAATTCCTGAGAAGCACTGGCCATTTGGTGATGATAACCAAAAAGCTGAGAAGGCCTCCTTCAGGAACAACCATCTTTCTACCAAGGGGATTCTCCCCACCCACAGGATTCCAGGAAGTACCAGAAACTAAC